GGAAAGAAAATCACTTATGCTTCACATCCTTTACTTTCACAAGTCAGCCAGTTCCAATAAAATATACGTGATATCTCAGGAAGAAGTTCTGTGATCCCACTCTGAGCTCACTGGCAGGCCTCCAGATTTATTGTGTCACCAAGTCTGAAATTAGGAAGTAAATTTATTAGTCTGGGTTTTTTTGTTTTTCTATCAAGTTACAAAGCAAAATGTGATTCGCCATACAATATTGTGAAATGACACTTTTGAGACACTATGAAATATTATTAAACAATTTCATTACCAAACAGATGTATAAAGGTTCTTTAACACAGTTTCACAAATCAATCGCAAAGGCCAACCAACAGACCCAGTCTAATTGATATATCTGCTGGGAAAACGTGCCAATCCCTATATCCTGGACTACTGGTGGTCCTTAAGATTGGAGTATGAAGTGAAGCAGTGGTGTAGATGTATAATAGAGGGGAGAAAACACCCAGTATAAATCTAGCAATAGAACATATTTATCTATAAACATGCTTTTCTGAGATATACAGTATCTCACAAAAGTGAATACACCCCTCACATTTTTGTAAATATTTTTTTATATCTTTTCATGTGTCAACACTGAAGAAATGACACTTTGCTACAATGTAAAGTAGTAAGTGTACAGCCTGTATAACAGTGTAAATTTGCTGTCCCCTCAAAATAACTCAACACACAGCCGGCTCTCGGCATCAGTAGACAGCCCAGGCAGCGTGAGGGAGCAGAGTAGGGAGGACACAGCTCCCTCGCCGCCACTGCCGGGAACACTGCCGCCCAACTCACTGAAGCCCCACTGGACCCCAGGGACAGAGTCACGCCAGCTCTCCAAGTAGGGAGGCTGGGTGGACACTTTAAAAGTTTTAAAATATGATGTGTGTGTGTCTGAGAGTGTATGTGTGTGTCTGTGAGTGTATATGTGTGTGTGTGTGTCTGTGAGTATATATGTGTGTGTTTGAGTGTGTGTGTGTATGTGTGTGTCTGTGAGTGCATGTGACTGAGTGTGTGTGTCTGTGTGTGTTTGTGAGTGTGTGTGTGTGTGTGTGTCTTTGAGTGTATGTGTGTATGAGTGTATGTGTGTGTCTGTTGGTGCATGTGTGTGTGTGTCTGTATGTATGGGTCTCTGTGTGTATATGTGTGTGTATGTGTGTTTGTATGTATGTGTGTATGTATGTGTGTCTACATGTATGTGTGCCTGTATGTCTGTGTCTATGTATATGTCTGCATGTGTATCTGTATGTCTGCATGTGTTTGGGGGAGGGGCGGGGATGTTTGGGGGGGAGGGGACGTATGGGGGGGCCTCAGGGCAATTTTCGCACGGGGGCCCCGTGGTTTCTAGTTACGCCTCTGACTGTATACGTACACACAAAAACACCTACATAAAACCTATTGAGAAAGGCTCATCAAAAAGGACTTGAAATGTTGACATGCCTGATCGTTAATGATCTAGAATAAACACTTAAAGGGTTATACAAAGCACTATGACCACTTCAGTCATGGCCATGTTGATTGGAACACCGAGTAATGCTGCACGTAGAGAATTAACAGCTGCTGGAAGTGTGTCACAACCGCTGGTATCGCCATTAGCAAGCCGGGAACAAGAAGTGACTAATGTCAGTTCTGTGCATATTTGGTACCAGTGGAATGCTTGTTATAGACAACCAATGGCAGGGAGTGATGCCACCTGAGTAGGATCGGGTAGAGGCAGAATTTGGCTTTGGTGCAGGATAAAAAGTTGCGTTTATTCTTTCTTTCTTTAATTTTTAATTTTGGCGGAGAAGTAGGGACATGCCAGCAAGGATTACTGCATTTAATTTAAAAAAAAGACAAAGGGGCGGGGCCAAGCACTGCTACAGCTCAGATGCTATATTAAACAGCTACAAGGCCACAAATCTAGAAGAAGCTCTTTGTGAGACAACTAGTCCAAAGGGCCACACAGAAGGTGCTATCCTGCTACAGGGGACATCCAACGCTTCACGCTAATGCCCTTCTTTTGCAGATCACAGCCCAACTTGCCCCGTAAAGTCCTTTTTGAAGACTGGGGGGAATACTCACCTCCCTACATAAACACTCCTCAGCTGACACTGATGATAACCACAGGCTGACACCTTCAACTGAACCAGTGATGGATCCAGAACCAAATCTCGGGAGATGCACTGGTGGTGGGGTGTAGCAGGGGTACAGGGGGTTGTAGCGGGTGGACAGAGGACTGTAGTGTAGGGGTTTAGGGGCTGTAATGGGGGTTGGGCTGTAATTAGCAGGCTAGGGGGCTGTAGTGGAGCATAGTAGGATGTGTTGGGTAGTAGGGGATTATAGTGGAGGCATGGGGCTCTAATTAGATGAAATTACATTCACAGTCGCATACATTGGCATACACACCCAAACAAATACAAACATGAACCTACACAGGCACACACATACCTACACATACACACAACGGCACACACAGATACATATACACACACACATTTACAATACACACACTGACACACATACCTTTACATACACACATTGTCACACACACACACACACACACGCACACAGATATACACACATCTAGACATAAACACACTGGCACATGCACAAAGACACACACATACCTACACACACACTGGTGTAGTAGATTCTTTTCTGCAAACCAATAAGTTTGAATGACTATCTGTTCCTGTCCAAATTAAAGATAATAAAGTTGCGTGCACGCAGAAGTAAATTCACACTGAGACACAGAGTTCAGGTTAATGAAAGAACTTCGGAGAAGTTTAATGGCTTCTAACAGAAAATGGGTGCGCAGACCCTTTTAAAGGCATTATTACATCACTGAAGAATTCAAGATAACAGCAAATAGACACTATTGATTGGTCCAGGTGTTAAGTGGTTAGTTAGATACCCTCCTATCAAGAGGTGATGTCATCCTTGACACGGGAGTGGACACAAGATGTAGGCGCCATCTTATTAGCACGAGGTGTTCACTCGATGGGAGGGGTGCTTTGGCAGCCATTTTGAGTAGTTAGTATTGTTAGCTTCAAGGTTCTTTTAGTAAATACACATTTTATTATTCAGCACATTTCTTCCTGCCAAAGCATTAGCTTAGATAATTTCAAGAATTCTATAATTCTACAACACTGGCACACACAAATACACACACATACACTGGCACAAACACAGATACACATTTACACAGATACACACACACAGTTTACACATAGATACACACACAACTACACATACCTACACACATACCTAAACATACACACTGACACACAAATTGCAATTAGAAACATAGAAACATAGAATGTGACGGCAGATAAGAACCATTCGGCCCATCTAGTCTGCCCAATTTTCTAAATACTTTCATTAGTCCCTAGCCTTATCTTATAGTTAGGATAGCCTTATGCTTATCCCACGCATGCTTAAACTCCTTTACTGTGTTAACCTCTACGACTTCAGCTGGAAGGCTATTCCATGCATCCACTACCCTCTCAGTAAAGCAATACTTCCTGATATTTTTAAACCTTTGTCCCTCTAATTTAAGACTATGTCCTCTTGTTGTGGTAGTTTTTCTTCTTTTGAATATAGTCTCCTCCTTTACTGTGTTGATTCCCTTTATATATTTAAATGTTTCTATCATATCCCCCCTGTCTCGTCTTTCCTCCAAGCTATACATGTTAAGATCCTTTAACCTTTCCTGGTAAGTTTTATCCCGCAATCCATGAACCAGTTTAGTAGCCCTTCTCTGAACCCTCTCTAAGGTATCAATATCCTTCTGAAGATACGGTCTCCAGTACTGTGTACAATACTCCAAGTGAGGTCTCACCAGTGTTCTGTACAATGGCATGAGCACTTCCCTATTTCTACTGCTAATACCTCTCCCTATACAACCAAGCATTCTGCTAGCATTTCCTGCTGCTCTATTACATTGTCTGCCTACCTTTAAGTCATCAGAAATAATCACCCCTAAATCCCTTTCCTCATATGTTGAGGTTAGGACTCTATCAAATATTCTGTACTCTGCCCTTGGGTTTTTACGTCCAAGATGCATTATCTTGCACTTATCCACATTAAATGTCAGTTGCCACAATTCTGACCATTTTTCTAGTTTACCTAAATCATTTGCCATTTGGCTTATCCTCCTGGAACATCAACCCTGTTACATATCTTAGTATCATCAGCAAAAAGACATACCTTACCATCAAGACCTTCTGCAATATCACTAATAAAAATATTAAAGAGAATAGGTCCAAGTACAGATCCCTGAGGTACCCCATTGGTGACAAGTCCAAGCTTCGAATATATTCCATTGACTACAACCCTCTGTTGCCTGTCACTCAGCCACTGCCTTACCCATTCAACAATATTGGAATCCAAACTTAAAGATTGCAGTTTATTGATAAGCCTTCTATGTGCAACAGTGTCAAAAGCCTTACTGAAATCTAGGTAAGCAATGTCTACTGCACCACCCTGATCTATAATTTTAGTTACCCCATCAAAAAAATCAATAAGATTAGTTTGGCATGATCTCCCTGAAGTAAACCCATGTTGTCTCTGATCTTGAAATCCATGTGTTTTTAGGCCCTGTTTAAGAGAGCACTTAGAAGTAGCAACCAAGCTATATTAGCCAAGCTAATGACCACAGCCCTTATATAACTCCTAAAATCACCACCCACTAGGAGTGTTTAACACCTGGGTAGGCCTCTGCTTATTTGCAAACAATAGCTAATTTAAACAGCAATCAATAGCAAGTAATCTAATCAAATGCCTTATAATTACCAACAGGAATTCAAATCTTGTGCAATCAGTAACCTTTTCCTACAGATGAATCTTACCTGTAACAGTAGAAAAGAAAGCTCTTAGCACAACTCTTAGACAGTTGAAGCTTCTGTAAAACTCTCCAGAATATCTCCAACTACACACTTAGAAACAGCACTTAGAAGTAGCAACCAAGCAGTTGGCATATTATTAACCACCCCCTGTCTCCATACCTTTTGCTGCAGGGAGGTGAGTTCCTGGGGATAACTGAGGCTGACGGCATAGAAGTCTGCCTGCAGAGCTTTTCCTCCTCCTCTCTCAGAGTGTCTTCAGTCCTCCCAGCACGCGCGATCAGTAAGCAGGGAGGAAGTAACAGATAGCACTTTCTCCCAGCACTCTCTGTTCGGGAGGGGCTTGGTCTCTGCAAAATTTAAAGGGGCCTGGTTGTAGGTATTTCCCCCCCACCCCCCTCGGGTCCGCCACTGAACTGAACAAGACATCACTGACTTGTGTGACAAAATTAGACAATTATTCAATGCTGATATAGCAGTGGTGAAAAGTGAGATGCAGGTAGTCATGGCCCAAGTCTAAGCTACTGAAGAGGACGTGAACGATCTTAAACAGGGCCTAACAGCTTTGGGGGAAACTGTACAGCCCTTACAAACATTACACTCATCTCTATCACTCCGAGTTGACACAACAGGCAAAACATCAAAATACGAGGAGTTGCGGATGCAGTTTACCCAGAGGAGCTACCACACTTCCTAAGATGGCTCATTGCATCAGTGCTACCCACCAAACAAACAAAGCATATACAAATAGATGGAGCCTATCGGATTACCAAGTCCCCCAGGGATCCGGCTGGCACTCCAAGGGACATTATAATCAGATGTTAAAGGGACCCGATAGTCACCCAGACCACTTTAGCTCAATGAAGTGGTCTGGGTGCCAGGTCCCTCAGGTTTTAACCCGTCAGATGCAAACATAACAGTTTCAGAGAAACTGCTATGTTTACATTTGGGGTTAATCCAGCCTCTAGTGGCTGTCTTCCGGACAGCCACTAGAGGCGCGTCTATGACCCTCAGGGCACTATAGTGTTAGGAAAACCGCTAGCGTTTTCCTGACACTATAGTGATCCTTTAAACCTTCACAGAAAAGCAAAGGCTGATGAAGATGAAGTACCTCTGGACTTTGAATCGCACCAACTTACTTTCTTCCGGATATAAACCGTTCCACACTGTTGTGGCTCAAAACCATGCAGCCCATCACCAAAAAGCTGCAAGAAGCTGGCCTGGCATATAAATGGTCCTCACCCTGCATCCCGCAGGTGCAGAAGGAGGGAATGGCATATAGAGCAATATCTCGAGCAGATGCCTCAGCATTAGCCGTCGGCCTGGCAGATACCACACTAATGAGGTCTAGGACATCCCCAACGTGACATTCTTTCTACCTACAAGAGATCAGGACCTAAATAGGACTACAATAACTTACCCAAGCGCACATGTTCCAGGTTTCCTCCTAACTTCCACTTATTGCTGAATCACTAAGTGGTATTGCACTGTCTGAGCTGTAGTTTCAGGTTTATTTATGTTTTAAAAGTTAAAATTTTACTTACATAAAAGTTTGTTTTGGGTTACACACTCGAGAATTTGTATGAACACCCCACCCCCCACCCACTGCCCCCTTGGTCAGGGGTATTTAAACGCATAGGTGGCACAATATATTTTCTTTTTTGCTACATTCACTTGAGCAGATATCTCAACCTCATGTAAATGGCCCCTATGAGATATACTTCTAACATCCTGCTGGACAACTTACCTATATTGTTCTGTCTAACTAATAACTACAGGGATTAATTGGTTAGTATGTGCCTAAGGTTGTATCCCGAATCCATTCGGCTAACTGCACAACTAGACTTTAAATTCTATGTGTTGTATTACTCAGAAATGCTTTCACTCGAGAAAGGGAGGATCTCCCGAAATGTTTTCATTCTAAATTCTGTTAGTCTAAAAAAAAGGTATTACGAGATCCGAATTTCATTTTAACATCTGCATCACTGGACTAAACGTGCTACAATCTCTACTATATACAGTTGCAAGAAAAAGTATGTGAACCCTTTGGAATGATATGGATTTCTGCACAAATTGGTCCTAAATTTGTGATCTGAAAATCATCTAAGTCATCTAAGTCACAACAATAGACAATCACAGTCTGCTTAAACTAATAACACACAAAGAATGAAATGTTGCCATGTTTTTATTGAACACACCATGTAAACATTCACAGTGCAGGTGGAAAAAGTATGTGAACCCCTAGACTAATGACATCTCCAAGAGCTAATTGGAGTGAGATGTCAGCCAACTGGAGTCCAATCAATGAGATGAGATTGGAGGTGTTGGTTACAGCTGCCCTGCCCTATAAAAAACACACACCAGTTCTGGGTTTGCTTTTCACAAGAAGCATTGCCTGATGTGAATGATGCCTCGCACAAAAGAGCTCTCAGAAGACCTACGATTAAGAATTGTTGACTTGCATAAAGCTGGAAAGGGTTATAAAAGTATCTCCAAAAGCCTTGCTGTTCATCAGTCCACGGTAAGACAAATTGTCTATAAATGGAGAAAGTTCAGCACTGCAGTCCTGTAAAGATGACTGCAAGAGCACAGCGCAGACTGCTCAATGAGCTGAAGAAGAATCCTAGAGTGTCAGCTAAAGACTTACAAAAGTCACTGGCAAATGCTAACATCCCTGTTAGCGAATCTACAATACGTAAAACACTAAACAAGAATGGATTACATGGGAGGATACCACCGAGGAAGCCACTGCTGTCCAAACAAAACATTGCTGCACGTTTACAGTTTGCACAAGAGCACCTGGATGTTCCACAGCAGTACTGGCAAAATATTCTGTGGACAGATGAAACCAACGTTGAGTTGTTTGGAAGAAACATACAACACTATGTGTGGCGAAAAAAAGGCACAGCACACCAACATCAAAACCTCATCCCAACTGTGAAGTATGGTGGTGGGGGCAACATGGTTTGGGGCTGCTTTGCTGTGTCAGGGCCTGGATGGATTGCTATCATCTAAGGAAAAATGAATTCCCAAGTTTATCAAGACATTTTGCAGGAGAACTTGAGGCCACCTGTCTACCAGCTGAAGCTCAACAAAAGATGGGTGTTGCAACAGGACAATGACCCAAAGCATAGAAGTAAATCAACAACAGAATGGCATAAACAGAAGAAAATACGCCTACTGAAGTGGCCCAGACAGAGTCCTGACCTCAACCCGATTGAGATGCTGTGGCATGACCTCAAGAAAGCGATTCACACCAGACATCCCAAGAATATTGCTGAACTGAAACAGTTCTGTAAAGAGGAATGGTCAAGAATTACTCCTGACCGTTGTGCACGTCTGATCTGCAACTACAGGAAACGTTTGGTTGAAGTTATTGCTGCCAAAGGAGGTTCAACCAGTTATTAAATCCAAGGGTTCACATACTTTTTCCACCTGCACTGTGAATGTTTACATGGTGTGTTCAATAAAAACATGGCAACATTTCATTCTTTGTGTGTTATTAGTTTAAGCAGACTGTGATTGTCTATTGTTGTGACTTAGATGATGATCAGATCACATTTTATGACCAATTTGTGCAGAAATCCATATCATTCCAAAGGGTTCACATACTTTTTCTTGCAACTGTAAATATTTGTGTACGGGGTAATTAGAGGACGTACAATTAAAATATGTAGTTCGATAAGGACCAAAGTTGATTGAGGTGTGCTGAAACCGACGAGTCGTCAGGCCTGTAAAAGAGGGCCCACCTGGTATATTGATGTAAATAATAAAGGGTGAGGTGGGAGGGGAACTTCCAGACAGCGATGATAGGTAAGCTGGGGTTACTGGGGATTTAAATAGAAAAATAACCCCTGCCACAAATTCAGGCATATGCCTTCCACTTGTGTACGGGGTAATTAGAGGACGTACAATTAAAATATGTAGTTCGATAAGGACCAAAGTCGGTTGAGGTGTGCTGAAACCGACGAGAGGTCAGGCCTGTAAAAGAGGGCAAAAATTGAAGACAAGATTAATTTCACATTTAGCAATCATTTAGTCACACTGTCGACAAGACAGTCTGATTTCTATCCTGGGTTAGGAATGTTCCTATTTTAAACCAACTTACCATATTTCTACTTATGTGTGTCGTAACAAGCCCATTAGAGGCTGCTGTTGTATTGACATGGAATGAGTGGCCTGAGTAGGAGAAAGGATTAAGGCCTGGGTGGTGTATTAAAGTAACAAATATCGCAGTTATTAAAGATAGTAAGGTTTAGTTAGGGACCTGGCTAACCTGGTCTTTGATTACGAGTACAAATTTTGAACCGGGCACAATTTAAAATGCCCAACTGATATGTTTTGGTATGAAGAGTAGATAATGTAACAATTGTTGATTCCTGAATTCTTTACGCATGGGTGAAGGTCGAATGTTTCCGACAGCAAGATTCTTTCTTTTGGCCTCAAGAAATCGTAGAAAGCCAAGTGAGCTGCTGACTTAAATTAGTAGGGTTATTAAAGGGAGGCTTAACGGTTAATTTGAAAACTCCCCCTAAGATTTACTGTTGATAGGGAGTGAATTGGATGATTTGTGGAGTTTTGATCTCTGACACTTGTCAGCGCCCATACTGAATAAGAAAAGAAATGGGAGCTGTTGGGTATATTGTCTACATGTAATGTTAACTTCCTGTAGGTATAGTTTTAATTGTATTGTAGGCTGGTTTCAAAGAGATGTGGCAAAAATTGTGCAAGCAACCATTTATAATTGGAACGCATTTATTATCTTAAATCATACACAATACTTACACATATCGTAATCTTTAGAGTAAGTTTGCTTAGTGTTAGTAGACAAATCTACCTGCGTAAAAAACTCTAACTTAAGGCTTGATTAGGCCTTGTGAACTGCATAGGATCTCTGGACTGAATGTTCTTTAAGCTCAACAGTTATGTTTAAGCAAGGCCCGACTTCAGGACTTTAGGAGTGGCCAGGGCGGGGGATACTTCGGGGGACCTGGGATGACAGGGTTAGAGTGTTTATTAAAGATAGAATGTCACCTGGAGCTATTTCTTGTAGCATTCTGTAAGGAGGAAAGAAAAGAAAAATATATATATGTTTTAACTATGCAAACTTTGATGCCAATTGAAATATCCCATGTAGTAGAGCTGCTTGCTAACGAGTACTTATAGGCAAAGATATTGACTATCCCATGATAGGTGAGGCCCAGCCATTTGCTCCGTGGCTGAGAAAGGCTCTAATTTTGATTTGGGCCATGTGGACTTGTACCTACCAAGCACAGCGGGGTGTTAACCTTTGGTAATGATAAAGAGACAATACTTGTGGCCGTGACATGTGAGGCCTTACCCAAGACCTTGCAGAAGAATTTGCGAGGTACTAACTCAGAGTTGGGCCGCTGGGTGGAACCTCCGTGTTGAGGTGAGTAGTTGGCCTCGTGCAAAATGTATTTGACTAAGTTCAGAACTTCTTACCCTTGGCAGGCTTGTTTCTTGTGGATGAGCATTAACATAACCTTACATGAGTGAGTAACTGGATAGAACCACAGAGAAAAAGGACTGAAAAAGGCATCTGACGAAACTATCTGACGTGATGCGAACCGAAGAATAGAATGAAATGCTGTGACTAACAGTAGGGACAATGTGTGCTCTTAAGAGAGGAACCTGAAAAAGGAGCTTTGATTGTGGTTTAAGCTTAAAGATAATATGTCGTATAATAAATACCCTATAATCGTTTACTTGATAGGCTTGGGATCGTAATTGTCTGTATTATAAGATGCCTATAGGTGTAACTTCTTAGACAGAAACAGATAGCATGACCGAAAGTCAATCCTGATGGACTTCTTGAACGTAAATAACATAGTGAAATGTATGTAATATTAAATAGCGTAACAAATGATTGAATGCGCATGGAGAACCTTGCGAATGTCAAGCGTGCAGAGACAAGTCCCCATTAGCTGTTAAGGATTTGAATTGTATTTGTTTGTTCGTAATGAAGGCTGAGTGATGCCTCGATGTTTGATATGAAACAAGTAGGAATTCTGGTTTATCCTATCTTTATTAGATTGCTAATGCTTTAACCTGTATTGCCTTGTATAATTGACGTAGACGTGATAATTAAGCGATAGTATGAGTCAACGTATGGTAATTTGGAACTCAATGTACTGAAATGCCCCTAATGGGCTGCCAAAACAGTATATCTGTAATGAATAATCTGGAAGCAGTCACTATATGTACGTAAGCATATTGAGGACCTGACGATGGTCCAATACAAGGCCTAAATATGTACAACGTGTAAACGTAAAAGGCAGCGTGAGGCCCAATATACGTATTTAACTGAAAATATATGTAAGAAATAAAATGCCTGAAACAAATTGTTGCATGAAACCGCTGACCTTGGTTTCTACTGAATTGATATGGGCACCTAGTGTATGTGGTATAATAGGATCACAAAGTGAGTGACAAGTTGGGGAAATTATATAAATTTGGGTATCATCCTTGTACTGCTATCTAATTATCTAGTAGACCCTTAGCCCGTAAGTGATTGACGTATTGAAAGCATGGATTAGCCTTGTATGATAGTTCTGACATACGGTTTGTATTACTGGTATATAAACTCACCATCGAAACTAGAGCTATAACAAGGCGGGAAATAATCCGCTAGGATACCTGATCTGATTATTGGATCTGAAACATAGTGGGTATGCATGACGGGGTCTGCAGGTGCCGCCCCTCAAGTACTACGTGTGTGTATGTGTGCTGGCTGACTAGCTAGTGCCACAATGCGTCAAAACGATTACTCTAGGTTGGTGACAGGTGAGGCCCTGCTAATTGCCAAGTGGCTTGAGAGGCTCTATCTATGCGTTGGCGCGAGGGGATAGCGTGGCCACTGAACGTTGTGGCGGGCTCTCCGTGACAGTTAAACATAAGATGACAGGTGAGGCCCTCTCTATGCCGCAATGCGAGGCGACTAACTATGATTTGGCCCGAGGGGCGTAGTACCTCAGAGTATGAGGATGGGTGTTGGCCTCCCGGGACCACTAACCTAAGGCGAAGAAGCCAGGGGGAATAATAACTAGTGGACACCTAGGAACCTGACAGCCAGCCACTGCTAACTAAGAGGGAAGGTTAGTTAGTGAGAGAGAGGACATACCATGGGACGAAAACATGAGGGATAATGAAGTAGCATCGTAAGGCTGACCGTAACTGGAGTGCCCTGTGAGCGCGTCAGGTCCAGATGGTCAGTACGTATGAACTAGAATGCGTGTATGTATGTATGTGTGTATGGCCCTCGGGGCTCGTAAGTTTTTTTTTTTTATATATATATCTGCGGATCTTGTTCATATTACTGTTACCACGCGTAATCGCCTTTGCCGAGGCTTGCTTATCAGAACTGCAGATAACGTGAGTGCGAGCTTAATGCACTTTGTTTAGATTCACATGTGCTTGTCTGAGCAGAGACGTACAGGTCAAGGTAATCAGGTCTTAAATGTAGGTTGTCTATGCAAAGCTGAATACGTCAGAAATTTTTATTTTCGACATTAATTTGGTAAAACTGAGGGTTCTGTACGAAAACAGCAATTACAGGCAACAAACTAAAGCAAATATACTAGAGGAGAACAAGTGTTACTAGCCAAGAGCATAAATGGTTAATTTAGCCATGCGAGGAAAGATTTACTCTTAAAGGGTCAATGAAACAATGTCAGAATCCTGCCTCTGAATGCTTATTACTTAAAAGTACATGTGCTTATAACAAATATACTGTTAAAGCTGTATGCTTTGATACCACCACTAAAACACATATTACCTACCCCATCCATGAGCAAAGGAGGACGCCACAGCCAGAGTGAGCATCAGCGCTGCTTGTGCCCGGGTACTTGCAGTGCGTCTGCGCTCCACCAGGGGCTCTGAAGCTCTGCCCCATCACGTAATACTGTGATTGGGGAGCATGCAATGAGATGTGAATCAGCACTGGTCTCACAAAAAATCCATGCTGCTACGCTCCCCCATCGTCTTACTCTATCACCACACAATTTAAAAATAACATCTCAAGACACTTAAAATAAACATATTGTGGATATTTTGGATATTTGTGTGTTTTTTACGATACAGACATTGAGCAAATGCTTGGGGTTTAGTATGTACTGGGAGAAGGCATGTAAAATGTTACCCTTTACCGACTGTATGAACTGTGCAGATAGTTTGACCATTTGCAGCTAATTATTTAACTAAGCAACACGTCATTCAAAAATATTTGCATAGAGTATTTGATGAACGGCAATGGGAAGAGAAAACTCAGGGCCGCCATCAGAAATTTTGGGGCCCCTAACACAGCTCAAGGTCTGGGCCCGCCTCCAAATCCCGCCCACAGGAATACACACACACTAACAGATACAAATACTGAAACAGACATACACACATGCATAGGGAGATTCTGACACACACACACACATACATATACATGCAGACATACATACTGCATACTGCTATATACATATATACATACATACATACATACTGGCATACATACATAGAGACACATACTGGCATGCATACATACAGACACACACTGGCATACGTACAGACATACTGGCATACATACATACACACACTGGTATACATACATACATACACACACACATACACTGGTATACATACACTCACACATACACTGGTATACATACATACACACATACACTGGCATACATACATACACACATTCACTGGAATACATACAGACACACACTGGTATACATACATACACACATACACTGGCATACATACATACATACACTGGCATACATACACACACTGGCATACATACATACATACACTGGCATACATACACTGGCATACATACATACACTGGCATACATACACACATACACACACTGGCATACATACATACATACACTGGCATACATACATACACTGGCATACATACATGCATACACTGGCATACATACATACACTGGCATACATACACACATACACTGGCATACATAGATACACTGGCATACATACATACACTGGCATGCATACATACATACATACACACATACACTGGCATACATACATACACTGGCAACCGTTATGGTTGTCATTCCCCGATGGCGGCCCTGATAAAACGTACAACGAGATTGTAAATTGTTAAACGGAAAATAGCCCTAACACGGCTATTTGCCGATTACCTGACGTTCGAATGTTTGGTGGTTCGTTTCTTTTTAGAAAACGTGATCAGAACTGCTGAACCACCCAGATATCAGCATCACGTTGGCTGTCAGTTTACCAATAGCTCTATTTAGATATTATGAATAAAACAACCTTGCATGTACTTGGTTCTGTCTCTTTCACAGAAAGTGAATAGAATGAGCACTTTCCAATCCTTGCTCCTAGATATCTTTTTTTTTTTCCAGTCCACTGCTCATTAAATAGATCTCAAAACCAGTGGCACAGTAAACAGGTTTTATTTTACTCATGTAAAGGTTTCACAGTACATGTTCAGTATCATTAAACAGCAACAAGTCTATGTATGAAATGTATTATTTTAGAATGGTATGCGGTATATTTATAGTAGGATTATAAAATACCAGTGCTTTCCTACCGAGGAATCAGAGGAATCAGAGGAATAGCTCCGTGTGTTTGAGTTACTTATTTGGTCAATACATTTATATTTGTGTACGCCTGTGATTGCGGTCTCATACGTGTGTTCGTATATACAGTTAAGGGAAAAGTCGAACGGCGGGAACAGCCCGAACGTGGCTATTCTAGCCGGTTACCTGGTGTTTGTTAGTTTGTGAGTTTGCGAGCGTCTGTGGGAACGGAGGCTGGCGGGAAGCCGCAAGGAATGACGGCACCGGAAGCGCGCTGTTGAGGACCCAGAAGTTGTGCTGACGAGAGTAAGGTGAGCAGGCCAGAACTTCCAGACGGCGACGATAGGTAAGCTGGGGTTACTGGGGATTTAAATAGGAAAATAACCCCTCTCACAAATTCAGGCATATGCCTTCCACATATGTTTTTTTTTTTTAATGTTTTTTATTATTAAATGAAAGGATTTACATAGGACTGTCATATCATTGTTTTTATTCTAAGCTACAGCAACATCCAAGAAGTTAAATAGGTGTTACAGGTAATGGCGAGACTTGTATTTGCTTAAGTGACTGATAGGTTGTATATCATCCCTGTATAAACAATAAAAATCAATGTGGTTTTTCAGAAATATTTCATAGTTCCAGCTTTGACGTACATGTCACACATACTAACCTCCTCGGCTCATTACCATATGTTAGCATTTCAATGTACGGAATAGATCGTAATTAATTACTGTCTTCCACATCCCGATCAAAGTACAGTGAAATCGGTGGTTTGACGTGTTTTTCAAGTTTAAAAGTGATAACAAGTTAAGACTTAATTGACAGTCATCATATTGTTATTTTCATGGTAAAATGAAGCAAATAGAATATTATTAACTTTAAAATGCAAAGTATTTTTAAGCTTTCAAGTGCAACTGTCATGAAATTTGAAGATACTAAAATACTATCTATACATTGTGCTGCCATATATACTGACTAGCACGGCTTTCAGATTTATTTTATTTTCCTCATTGAAATGGACCACTCCATCTACACATGATTAGAGAATAATGATACGCTTTAATGACCTTGCTTTCTGAATACTACTTTCTGAGCATGCTCTCAATTTCTCTATTAGTATTTGTTAAAGTACAATATGTTTAAAAAAGCACTCCAAGCACTATAACCACTATAGGTCTATGTAGTGGTTATGGTGACAGAAGTACTTGTGTACCCTCCCCTGTGTTTTTGCTGTTATTTTTTTAATTGCATTCACATTTGGATGCAAACTGGAATTTCTTCTATAAAAGTCATTAAAGGGGTATAGGCAATTTGTTATATAAAGTACAGTGGTACCTCGGTTTACGAATTTAATGCGTTCTCCAGGACATTTCTTATTGTGAAAAATTTGTAAACTGAAACGTGGTTTCCCATAGGAATGCATTGAAAACCAATTAATCCGTTCTGGAGGTCAGAAAAAAATTCAAATGAGCTGGCATGGAAACCAACCCACAATGCAGAACATGCAGTAAAAGGCATGCAAACGGCTCAGCTGCCTACCTTTCCACTGCTTGAGAAATGCACCAAAAAAGTTCCAAAACCACTGCAAAAATTTTCCAGAATGGCTCCAAAACTTGATGCAAAAGCCGCTCCAACACCTCCACACTCAACGCCACCTGCTACCCACAGACTCTAGCATGCATGGGGGTGGAGCTATAAACCTCCCAGACGCAATGCATCCTGGGGAAACTTGCTTTGTATTGCGAAAAAAAATGGTAAACCAAGGCATTATTTTCAATGGATTTTAATTTTAAAATGAAAATTATGTTAGCCGAGGCGTTTGTAAACCGAGGTACCACTGTATTAATTTAATTTGTTTATTCTATATCGCTCTTGCTGTGTAGATTTTAGAAAAGCAACAATCATTCTGCATTTTAAAAGAAGGAGATTTTATATATGTGTGCCAGGTATCCGTAACATTAACTTTAAAGAATCATGCTCGATCATTATCTTTTTATAGTCCTTTCTTAAAAGAACAAACTATTTAAAAAAATCAGATGGTTTCGTCAAATTACTGGCGGTTTATAGCCATATTTACATTCCTTTGAACCTGCTAGCTTTATGGTCACTGCTGACAGATTAGAGCACGAACACAGAATCAAGTCACTGTTTAATTGTATGACAGGTTGTTGAAGTCCTCATATCGCAATTTCCATCAGCTGTTTTCTAGATCCTGCTGTGTGCTTTTCAAAGATCCTGCTTCATGATTGCGTATAAATCTGTGGCAAAAATCTTTCAGCCGTGAGACATTTGGAAATATGATGAACCATTCAAACTGATGTGCCCTTCCTCAAAAGGTTCATTCTCTGCTTTTGATGTTCTTTGAGTCATAGGCAAAAAAATTATACTGTTCTATGTTCATTCTTTAATCCATGCTGTTAGGTCATTTAGGATGTAAACTGCAGTTTTAGTTACAAAGTATACAAATATTCATGACATGTGCACAGTCGTTATTCGGCATGTGCTAAACCCTTACTTAAGTAACACTCGGACACCAATTTATTCTGTTGGAGTATAAAGTCCACTGATTTATTATTTATTATAAATATATAATTTAACAATTAAGGGTCATTGTCACAAGTAATAATTACGTCCGATCACTGGCGTATATACCAGGGTCGCAGGGGTCACGACTGCGACCGGGCCCGGCCCACCAGGGGGCCCGGCCGCCCCTGCGACCCGGTATGTACACCCAGGGCCAGCCTCTTCCCCTGGGGGGCCCAGGAGCCGACCACCCCAGGGCCCCCCTGAGGCTGGCCCTGCTGACCCCGGGTGGCCGGTCGGGCAGGCAGGCGGGCGCGCGAGGGAGCACTCAGTGCTTCCTCTTCAGCTCCCTCGCGCACCGCACTAATGCCGGAGCCGGAAGATGACGTCATCTTCCGGCTCCGGCATCCCTACGCGACGCGCGAGGGAGCTGAAGAGGAAGCACTGAGTGCTCCCTCGCGCGCCCGCCTGCCTGACCGGCCAGCCCGCCCAGGAGCCCCACTGGACCCCAGGGAATCCCCCCAGCACTCCAAAAGGTAAGGAGGCTGGGGGGATTAAATAAAAAAATTTAAAAAAATCATGTGTGAGTGTTAGAGTAAGTGTTAGAGTGAGTGTTAGTGTGTGTGTTAGTGTGTGTGAGTGTTAGTGTGTGTGTGAGTGTTAGAGTGAGTGTTAGTGTGTGTCTGCTAGTGAGTGTTAGTGTGTTAGTGTGTGTGTCTGCTAGTGAGTGTCAGTGAGTGTGTTACTGTGTGTGTCTTACTGAGTGTGTGTGTGTTAGTGAGTCTGTTTGATGTCTGTTAGTGAGTGTGTGTTTGTCAATGAGAGTGTATGTTTTGTAAGTGAGTGTGTATGTATGTCTGTCGCTGACTGTATCTCTGTCAGTAAATGTGTGTGTCTGTTAGCTAGTGTGTATGCGACTGTAAGTGTGTGTGTGTGTGTCTTCAGCACTTACCTTTCTCCAGCGCCGGACTCCCTTGGCGCTGAGGATCCCTCAGCCTCTCAGCTCCGAATGCGACTGCGCACGCATTCAAACCGCCCATAGGAAAGCATTACTCAATGCTTTCCTATGGACGTTCAGTGTGCTCCTCTAGCGGCTGTCCGTGAGACAGCCACTAGAGGCTGGATTAACCCTCAGTGAAACATAGCAGTTTCTCTGAAACTGCTATGTTTTCAGCTGCAGGGTTAAAACTAGAGGACCTGACACCCAGACAACTTCATTGAGCTGATGTGATCTGGGTGTCTGTAGTGTCCTTTAAAGGACCACTATAGTGCCAGGAAAACATACTTGTTTTCCTGGCACTATAGTGCCCTGAGGGTGCCCCACCCGGCTCTGGTAAGGGGTAAACTTACCTTTTTCCACCCCAAGGAGCCTCCTCCCGATCCTCCTTTCCCTCCCCGCTGGCCAAGCGCTGCGCAAGAGCTGTGCACGCATTCAGCCGGTCACATAGGAAAGCATTCATAATGCTTTCCTATGGACGCTGGCGTGCTCTCACTGTGAAAATCACAGTGAGAAGCACGCAAGCGCCTCTAGCGGCTGTCAATGGGACAGCCACTAGAGGAAATAGGGGAAGGCTTAACCCATTCATAAACACAGCAGTTTCTCTGAAACTGCTATGTTTATGAAAAAATGGGTTAACCCTAGCTCCTGGCACCCAGACCACTTCATTAAGCTGAAGTGGTCTGGGTGCCTAGAGTGGTCCTTTAAGTGTGTGTGCATCTGCATGCACTGGCGTACATACCGCGGTCGCAGGGGTCGCAGCCCTGTAACCCCTGCGACCAGGTGCCCACCGCCATGTGTTGCGGCCCGGCCCGCGCGCGGGGGGGGGGCCCACGGATCAATTTTCGCACAGGGGCCCCATGGGTCATGTGTACGCCACTGCGTCCGATCCTTCCTGCCCAATACCCCTGACAATGACCCTACCAAATAACAATAATTAACATTCCAGTAATGCATAACGTTTAACACATGGCCTACCAAAGAGGTCCCATTTCAATATGTTTAAACTGTAGGGGTGTACCAAGACATCCCTACACCCCCAGGTTCGTAGCCACCAATGAGCTTGAACCTACCAACCACTTTACCACTCTGGCCTACTCTAGCCTAGACCTTGGCCTGTCCACTTCTTATTCCACCTAAGCCCTATTTATCCCACGTCCTATTCCGCCACAGCACATGACTTGACCCCCTTAAGATCATGTGCGACCCCCACCACACATAAACAGGGCCTGGGTAATACTGTCCTGGAAACCCAAATTAAGCAAATCTGAACCCACGTCTGACAAATGCACCCCATCCTTCCTAAAATACCCGGGAAGCATGCCCTCCATTTCCTGGTGCCGCACTACTACACCACCTATCCTTCGAATGAAAACAGCCATGGTCTTATTGACCTTGCCCCTACATCGAGCTACAGCAGCCGGATCCTTGGCGTGTCTCCAAATAAAACGAGGCACCATTTCTGACCAAACCACTACCACGCCAGGGACCAGCTCCCGTAGCTGATCCAAATCCCTTTTCATCTTTCTCACCAGTTCCTGCTGGGGGATCAAGCCTAGGTCGTTCCCCCCTCTGTGAACCAATACTACATTCGGGGATGACCCCCTTGCAATCCTTTGAAACAATTCCCTACTGATGCTCTGCCAACTGAAACCCCTGAATCCCAACCAAGATAGAACTACCATCTCCATAGGAAAGCCCAGCTGCAACTGCAGCCCTCTTCTGCGCCCAATACACATACGCATGTCCAATCAGTCATTCCGTCCGACCTAGAAATAAATAAAACAGTGACACAGCAGAGCAACACATAACAGTAAACGCCCAAGCCCCCTGTCACACAAACCTGTCGGGCCTAACGTACGAGCGGAACCGAATGGATTCCCACCTCCCTATCTGCTTGATCCGCTCGTCTCCCAAACCTAGGCGCGCCGCCTCCATTGCCACCCCAATTCTAAACGAGTGTGTCCCAAAATGCATGTGGTCCAGTCCCAACTTACGTAACCCCAAGCGAACAAACAAACTGAAAACGGGATAACGCCGTACCATTAGTATGAATGAAAAAATAGCCTTCCTTCTTAGGGCGGATTACCAAGAACCCGGCCCCGCAAGCAACCGGCAAACCCTGGACCCCGGCAACTCAAATAATGTCTTTGAGCATCCCTTACCAAAAACATCTGTCTTCAAGCAGCCCTAATCTGTACCCTGTCCTTGCCGACTACCACGTCTTCCACCCAAAGTCTGCCGGCCCCTGCTTTGTTGACGCTAATTAGTTCCCCAATTCGAAATGCCCCAAAGAAGGCCCAAACAAACTCCCCGGAAAATAACACCACCTCGTAAGCCGAGAAGCATAAAGTAGTTAGCGCCTCCACTAGCCCTTGCAGTACCGCAAACGACACAGGTCTCCTTGTATTCGTTGATTTTCTACCCCTCCAAAAACCTCGTAGGGCTTGCCTCACCAGAAAATGTTTGGTTAAATCCTCCCACCCATTAAACTTGAATAAGAAAGCCAAAGCCAACATGTTCCTGTCTACCATAGATGGAGACACCTTTCGAGCGAATAGTCGACACAATACCCATAACAACACATCTAGCCGATGTCCTGCTGAAAGGTCCCCTGCCCACTTGCGCCACTGTCTCTTCCCACTCGCGCTAAACCTTTTTGTATGCCCAAGTGCCTGGCGCCAGGGAACTCCTTATGAACTCCCTGTCGGGATCCCGTGGGCGGCTGTGAGGGGAGGCTGCACTCCGCTCGCAGTACTCACCCTCCAGCCGTCCGCGGTCCCCTCCTCCTCGTGGGCTCGGCGAGCGGCATCCTTCCAGCCTCGGATGCCGCCCGCCGTTTCCTCCACGTCCCCCAGCGGCAGCATACATGACGCTGCACGCTGGGAGACCGCCCAAATTATTACACGCCGGGGTCAGTCACCTGAGCCGGCGTTAAAGGCACAGTGCCTCAATCACAGTGGGAGGTTTAGATATCTCTCACGTGTGATTGTTAATTCTGATTGAAAATTATCCAATCAGAATTAACCTTATGGTTTAAATACTTACCTTTCCTGTTCCTCCCTGCCCTGTTGTGGTCTTTGCTTACTAGTATTGCTACTTACCTTGTGTTTCTGGTTACGTACTCTCTGGCTTGTTTATCTGACTCTGTGACTTTCTCCTACTCTTTGACCTCGGCTCGTTTCACGTTATTCTGTCTTCTGGTTACCCTTACTCAGCTTGTCTCCTGACTATTCTGTGTGTGCTTAGCCCGGCCACTCTAAGGTCCGGTACAGCACCTTTTCTGTGTGTGTGTGTGTGTGCCAGCGTGTTGGGTTCCCCGAATCGTGACACTCCCCAAGTATGATGTCCTGAGCTGCCACATTTTTTCCGGACAAGCCAGTCCCTCCTCCTGCGCTTCCGGAGCCGCTTCCCGAAAACATTCCCACTGTGAATGAGACAGTGCGTCAGCCACTACATTCAAGAGCCCCGGTACGTGCCTTGCCCTAAACACAATATTACTATTGCCTAAATAACCGTACCACTGAAATCGAGGATGCCTACAATCCGTTGATAGCCTGGACCACTGCCATATTATCTGAATAAAAGACTACTTTTTTGTTTGCAAGCTGCTTACCCCATAACGCTACTGCTACTACTACCGGGAAAAATTCCAGGAACACCAGATTCCTGATCAGCGAGCTCGCCTTCCACTCCGTCGGCCACTCTCCGGCGCACAATTGTCCCGCCAAATAAGCCCCGATCCCCACGCTCCCTGAAGTGTCCGTGAACAGACCCATGGCATCGGATGATACCCCTGGTTCCCGGAAAAATACCTTACCGTTAAAATCCCTTAGAAGCCTTCCCCATACCTCCAGATCCGCTTTCATATCTGCCGAAACCCTGACATAATGAGTTGGTAGCCACACCCCACTCATCGACCGAGCCTGCTGCCTACAAAAAACCCTGCCCATCCCCTCACCATTTCCACTAGCTGGCAAAGTGTATGCAGTTTATCTGCGGGTAACCTGCATTCGCCTTTTACCGAATCAATCTCTAAACCGAGAAAACGGAGGCACGTGCTGGTGCTGACCGTCTTATCCCCCGCCAGGGGAACCCAAAAAGATTGCGCCACCCATTGAAATACCTTCAGGATCTGACCACACCACTCGGTCCCCGCCGGCCCCACGCACAGGAAATCGTCGAGATAGTGCACTACTGCCCCACCGGCCGATTCCCGCCGCACCACCCATTCCAAGAACATGTTAAACTTTTCGAAATAGGAACACGATATGGAACAGCCCATCGGTCAACACAAGTCCACAAAAAAAACCCTTAGAAAAACATCCCAGGAGATGGTGACAAGCCGGAATGCTGCTTCCACATTCACCTTCTCCATCAGTGCCCCGTGTCCTGCTCTCCGAACCAACTCGACTGCATGGTCGAATGATGCATTGGATACAGAACACAGGACTGCGTCAATGTCGTCATTTACCGATGACCCTCTTGGGTGCGATAAGTGATGTATCATGCGAAATTTGCCCGCCTCCTTCTTTGGGACCACCCCCAGTGGAGACACCCGCAAATCCTCCAAAAGCGGGGATAGAAACGGCCCCGCCATCCTCCCCAATTGGACTTCTTTCATTAGTTTCTCCCGCACTATCCCTGGATGTTCCCGAACGGATTTAAGGTTTGCACACAACGTTCCCAGACCCTTGACCCTGAATGGGATAACAAAACCCTCTGTAAACCCTCGCCATAAAAATCACGTGTCTTCCTGGTTAACGTATTGCCTTAGCCATGGCAGCATCGCGCCGACCTTCACCGGCGATGTTCCCAGGTGCAGCCGCCGTAGCTGTGGACCCAGCTGTTCCCCCAAGGTTAGATTTTTCCTTCTTAAAGCACCTGTTGACTCCGTGATTGCCCCCGCATACGGAACATTCATGTTTAAATCTACACGAAGCCCCCCACTTGCATTGACCCTCGTTGTAGAGCCAGCAAAACCCCCTCTTTTATCCAGCCGACACGGCGCCGCCTGCAGCCGTACCGGCCGTCCCCTGAATGGGCGCGTTTTTCTGCGCCATCATCAGTTCCATCCAGGTCCCTCTGATCCCACCTCATGTTAGGATTCGCTGCCAACCGTTGACGAAACTGCTCGTCGTACCTCCACCATGCCAATCCCCCATAAGTCCTGTAGGTGTCCCCTATCCCGTCTATGTAACAAAAAAGCTGTGAGCATCGTTCCGGGGACTTTTCCCCCGATTATGCTCGCCAAAATACAAAAGGCCCGATGCCAGTTACCAAAAGTCTTTGGTATCTTCCAATACCTCCGCCTTTTCTCCTCCTCCTCCTTTTTGGCATCCTTCTTATCCTCCTCCTTTAAGTCGAGGAATTCCTCGAGAGGAAGCAAGGAGAAGATTTCCACGAATTCCCCTCTCCCAATTTTTTCTTTAATCTCAGCTTTCAAGTGACACCCCAACAGCCCCGCAAAGGACACATGCACATTTTGCCGCGCCACGTCAGAGATCTCGTCACACCCTACTGACTGCTCTCCTGACCCGTCCACCTTCTCCGCTACTGTCGCCCCATCCCCCACTTCACCGACACTCGACCTGCGCGCCAACGTCAACTCAGCCCCCTTCTCTATATCCTTTCTGCCCTCTGGTGACCATACCCATCCGAACCACGGAGATGACCCCCCTTCTCCCGCCCATGACTCTATAAACGATTTTAAACAACCAAGTTCCCAGTGTGTGGTGCAATTCTTGACTCACCACCTGTGCCCCAGGCTGCGAATGGCTGCGGGGTTGCTGTCTTTCCGTCCGTCTTGCCAGGCTGCGGAGAATCCTGTTGCCACCAAATCCAGTCCACCTGGCCCCTCCTTGAGACCTTAGGTGAAACACTCCTCGACCTGCCGGGAGAAAATAACCTGGGTAGTCTGTCCATATGTTGTCCTACCCACCCTTCCTCCCTGCGCTCCCTTCACCTATCCCTGTCTCTGCGCTGTTTCGCTGCCTGACCATCCCGGCCGTATGTATTTCTTTGCCGTCCCCTTGAACTCCTGTCTGATGAAATTGAAGCGCTGCGCCGATATCTCATCCTCCTTTCTCTGCTACTGGACCTCTGCCTACTCCACTGGCTCCTAGAATGGCTCCTGTCCCTGCTTCTCCCTTTCTCCGCTGACCTCATTCGGATGCTGCGCTGCTCGCCAATCTCATCCCGCCTCCTGTCCCTGCTCCTGTCCTGCTGAACCTGAGAGCGACCCCTTTGGGCCTCCCACTCGCCTCTGTCTCCCCTGCCTTGCTCTCTCCTACTCGGTCCCTGCAGCTCCTCCAAGCCCCCTGCACTTGTGCTCATATATTCTGCCTTGTCCACTCCTGGTATAATGGTAACCTCCTGAGGGCTGGGATTCACCCCCCCCCCTCCGCAGTTCCACTATGCCTAGAAACGCTGCACCCCCTGTCCCTTTCCCTGCCTTCCGACCTGGGCCTATTCTCTGCATGGGTTAAGCCCGTCTGTGACCTGCCATCCGCCTTCCCCTGCCACCTGAGTGGGCTCTAGCGCCGAGCTGTCCGCTTGTACCCCATCCACCTGCCCTTCAGTATCGCCACCAGGGGCGGACTCACCGGGGAGTTGCATTTCGGATCTGTCTCTGCCCTGCTGCCTGGCCGCCATCTTGGCTGGGCCGGTTCCAGCCGCTTGCTGTGGCCTCCCGCCCGCGGACATGCGGATGGGTGCCCTCCTTGCGGTAGGCCTCTGTGCACGACCGGCGCACTCCAACCCCCGAGGTCCGTCCTTCTGCCTGGGCCGCAGGCGACGACGGACTCCGACGCCTCCTCGCCGCTGGTGCTGCTCCTGGGCTGAGCCGTTGGGGCAGTCGTGCCCTCCTCATCGGCCTCCTCTCCATCACCACGGGGGGGGAGCAGACATCCTCGGGACCCCCATTTGGTCCTGTAGCCATGCCATTCCCTTCTCCTTCACCATTTCTTACACGCCAGCCAGAATTTCTTCAGCTGAAGCCATACCTGCCAAAGAAAAAACAAACCACGCCGACTTGCTACAAGTAAAAAGTAAGTGAGGTTTTGATTAAGATGGCCACTCACTAAAATGCCCGTTATTTAAACCCCTACTCTCCTCCCCCCAAAACAAATATTAATTTTCCACACCCCTTGACCTTAACTTCACCTGCCCACTCTCTGGCCCTGTCAAGGCCAACTCCCCCCCTGCTTTGCTCCATGGGCTTCAGTATGGTTGCGTGTAATGTACACAAGGACTCCACTAGTTTTTTAAGAAGCTCAGGTTTCATACCTTATTCATTAAGTTATTATAAACATTGGCAGGCTTATTCATTAAGTTAGAAAATTGCAAATATAAGACCAAAATAGCCGATCTGGACACAAAGTTGACTTTGTTAATTTCACTTCGGCTATTTTGGCCTTTTATTTGAGATCAACTTGGAGTCCACTTTGGAATTCCAAGCTATTCTCACTTTAGTGAATAAACCTATAAGTCAGTTGTTTGACTGAAGGAACATGGACGTATATCTGTAATGTCAGTTTTAGGTGCTCCCGTTAACCAGAAAGTATCCACTGACTTTTATGTTGTGTTATATGTTTACCTATTATTCGATGAATCAATTTTTTTATTTTTTTTTAACTAACTATGCTGATGTCCTTTTATTAATTATCAATGTTATAATCTTACCTTGGGTCTTTGATCTGCTACACAGACATTCCTCCAGTCTCCATATTGTTTCACTGTTTATTCTAGCAACAGTCAGCTTGGATTTCCCATACGTACATCCTTCACTATGTCTATGGAAACTGCAACACCTCACTTGTTGGTATGGTTTTAACTCATTTTATCTATAAATATTTACACAGTACATTTACAATGTTTGGCTAGAACCTGCAGGGGCCTTCTGTGTTAGATGAATTCAATTAACAGAGCAGGAAATAAAAAATACATCTAAAGGAAACTCACTGTGCTGTCACACCTGATTGCGAATGAAACCATTTTTTTTATTGCAGGATGTGTGAAAGCCAGCCAGGGGGAGGTGTGGCTAGGGCCACATAAAGAGAAACAAAAATTATTTACATTCTAAATGGCAGATAATTGAGCAGTGAGACTGAAGGAGCATGATCTGATGACACATAGTCATAAAGAAACACATACATACACCCTTTACAGACATAGTCATACACACATACACAAACTTATACAGGCACAGTCTGACACACACACACATGATCATACAGATGCTTATACAAACTCATATAGACACACACTCATACTGACAGTCATACAGACACACATACACACTGATGCAGATACACACTCATACAGACACACCTGCACATACTCATACAGGCACAGTCATATAGACATACATACTCATACAGACACACATATACACATACGCATACAGACACATTCATACAGAAACTCATACAGATACATAAATACACTCATACTGACATATTGTCATACGGGCACATGCACACATTCATACAAACACACACAAACAAACACACTGGCAGTGTTAAGGCACGTTAAGGCAGAGGAAAGTATGCAAAAATAAATAAACTCTCTATACTGTGCACTTTAATAATGTATGGCAAGCATTCAATAATTATATAATAAATTGCTTTAAGCAATCCCAGTAACAGTGTCTAGGCCTATCAGTCACTTCACAGGGACTGATTAGGGAGGCTATAGGCCCTATAGCCTGCCTAATCAATCCCAGTGACTTAAGTGACACAGTCACTAGGATTGATTAGCTTACTAAATTACTGTGCCATACTCATCATACATTATTATTAAAGTGCACAGTGCAGAGATTTTTTTCACATCCTTTCATCTTGGACTGTCCCACTAGCAGCTGGGATGTCGCTGTCAAGGTCCCTGTGACAGTTCCTCCGTTAGACATTCATGAATTTCAAAGGGCAAGGGGAGGTGAATGTGACAGGATTAAGGGGGTTAATTGATAGGGTGAGTGTGGCAGAGTGATGGGGGTGTGTAATAGGTTTAGAGATGTTAATGCGACAGGGTGAGTGTGGCAGGGTTGGGGGTGCGTGTGGCACTGTTGGAATAGGGAGTGTGACAGGAAGAGGAGTGGGGAGCGTGACAGTGAGAGAAAAGGTGAGTGTAACAGGATTGGGGGGTTAATGTGAGTGTGGCAGAGCGAGGGGAAGTGAGTGCAGTTTGGTTGGAGGGGTGAGTCTGGCAGGATCAAGAGGGGTTGTGGGGGGTGGTGGCAGTGCGTATGGGTAGTGGTGACAGGGTGTGTGAAGGGGGGTGACAATGTGTGTGTGTGCGCACGCGCGTGGAGGGGATGACAGAGTGTGAAATGGGATGACAGAGAATGGAGGGGGCTGACAGAGTGTGAAAGGGGTGAGAGGTGGCAGAGTGTGAAGGGGTGACAGGTGGCAGAGGGAGGGAAGGAGGGGGTATCATAGGACAAAGTGATGGCAGTGTGTGTAACGGATCACCTGGCACCCCGACTGGGTACCTCCGTTGAAGGATGCTCCTAGCGCTTCCTGAGGACTCCAAGCACTGCAGCAGACACCAAAACCACCAAACCGTAGGAGCATATGAATGCTCTCAAGCATATGAATGTTGTATACAGCCGAATAGGAAAAATCATGCGAATAGGTTTACACTCATAGCAGTCAAACTGGAACAGCATACAATAAATCCTCCCCCAATAATGAGACGACACTTCACTTTGAGGGTTAAGCAGGAACTGACTGTACTGGCACATACAGCCTCTTTTATTCCCAATCCACAAACTTAGTACTGCCCACAGGGTTTTACAGAACAACCAATCAATCTGTACAATACACACAGACACTCCCACACAAAATCCTCCCCTCTGCCTGTAATACAATTACCTTACACAATGGGTAATCTAATTATCACAGACAGAGAAATACAGTTTCATAAAACACATCACAGGGACCCCAAAACATGCAATAACCCCATAAAAAGTTCAGTTCAGTACTTTGGAAGATACAGTTTAATGCAGATTCTGCAGAACATATACAGGCTAAATGAAAAACAATCACTGTATAATGTGTCCCCTGCTGTATAGTCCAAAACCACTGCATGATGTCTCTGTGCACCAAATACTGGCGAGATGGCACCATGTTGAAAAGTCCAAACAGTGTCTGTGAGTTAAAATGGCCGCCATCCATTGTTCTCACCATGTGCTTCTGATACAGGAAATGGTGGCCACCCAGTAACTCCACAGTATGTCCCCAGATGGTTCTTTAAGGGCCAGCAGTAGCACAACACAAATCCATTATGCCCAAATCATGTCTTTAAAGGGCAATACATCCCAGGGGCCATAGTCACATGGCAGGAGGCTGGCAATCAGTCTTCTCCAATGCCCAGTGGCGAGGTCGGTTTCGCCACAGTGTGTGACAGGATTATAGGTGTTAATGCGACAGGGTGCGTGTGGCAGGGTTGGGGACGAGTGAGGCATGGTTGGAGGAGGGAGTGTGACTGGAAAAGGAGTGGGGAGCGTGTGTGGGGGGTGGTGGCACCGTGTGTACGGAGTGGTGACAGGGTGTGTGGAGGGGGCTGACAGAGTGTGGAAGGGAGGGACAGAGTGTGGAGGGGTGTGACAGGTGGCAGAGTGAGGTGGTGGCAGAATGAGAGGGTGACAGGCAAAGGAATGAGGGGGTGACGGGGCTGACAGAAGGGGTGACAAGGGACAGAGTGATGGAGTGACAGGGGACAGAGTGAGGCGGTGACAGGGGACAGAGTGAGGGGGCGACAGGGGACAGTGTGAGGGGGTGACAGGGGGGTGAGTGAGGGGTGACAGGGACAGAGTGAGGGAGACAGGTAGCAGATTGAGAGGGTGACAGGGGGCTGACTGAGGAGGTGACAGGGGACAGAGTAAGGGTGTGATGGGGACAGAGTGAGGGGGTGTCAGAAGGCAGAGTGAGGGGGTGACAGGGGACAGAGTGAGAGGGTGACAGGGGGCTGAGTGAGGGGGTGACAGGGGACAGTGTAAGGGGTTGACAGGTGACAGAGTGAGGGGGTGACAGAGAGCTGACTAAGGGGGGCAGAGGCTGAGTGAGGGGGTGACAGGGGCTGACTGAAGACAGAGTGAGGGGGTAACAGGGGACAGAGTGAGGGGTGACAGGGGACAGAGTGAGAGGGTGGCAGGGCACAGGGTGATTGGGTAACAGGGGGCAAAGTGAGGGGGTGACGGGGACAGGGTGAGGGAAGGAGAAGGTGACAGGGGACAGAGTGAGAGGGTGACAGGGGGCAGAGTTAGGGGGTGACAGGAGACAGAGTGAGGGGGTGACAGGGTACATAGTGAGGTGGTGACAGGGGACTGAGTGAGACGGTGACGGGGACTGAGTGAGAGGGTGACAGGAGACAGAGTGAGGAGGTGACAGGGGACAGAGTGAGAGGGTGACAGGGGGCTGAGTGAGGGGTGACAGAGTGAGGGAAGGAGGGGGTGACAGGGGACAGAGTGAGGGGGTGACAGGGGACAGAGTGACAGTAGACAGACAGTATTTTCCTGTAATTATCACAAGATCACAGACACTTTTTCTACCTCCAGATATACCTAGTAGAAATTAAACCAGGTTTTATTTCTAATTTCTATGACCACTTAGTCGATAATTATGCAAATATTATTTTTCTTTTGTCTTTTTCACTTTTTTCTTATAAGTAAATTAACTGAATTTTGTTGAGTGGGCTAATTTTTCATACCATTTCACTTTGTGACACAATGTTTTTAATAAATATATTAAATGTTACTATTTAGAAATTACTCTACTATAGGGCAGTTCCGCTCTACTATTTACTGTTTACCCAGGGTCATCCCCTTGTTTGCCCTATTAACTCTAGACCTTTAATTTTTCCAGATTTCTCCCATTTAACATCTTTTTTATTGTTTAACTAATTTTTGTCCCTTAATAATGCAAAAAAAATATTGTGCACTTTGAAAGTGTAGGATGCGTTGTGTAAAAACAAAATTTTACAATTTCCAATATAATTTATTTTAATTGTAATGTAAAATTGTCCAAGGAAAGTGAGGAGTTTGCAAGACATCGTATCACAGTATATTGAAGCTCAAAAGATTTCCCGAAATACTACTTCAATGTGAGTATTTTGGATAAATCTAGAACATAATCGATATCAATAGTGAAACTAAGACAAGTTACTTATAAATTCAGAAGACTAAATCCTTCAAAAGGGAAAAGAACTGGGTATGGAATTTGGAAACCTGACTTTCACTGATAGTTTATGGCACACTGGGGATTTTAGCCTCAACAAACTTATTTAGTTAAGCTTTTATCCATACACAGAAAGTGGAAGAGAAAAGTTAACAAGCTTTAAATATAAGGTGTATTATGTGTTACAGAAGTTGCCAAAGGGCATGTTTCCATGTGAAGTTTTCAGCTGCCAGTTGAACAGGGCCAAGCTGTAGAAATCTGTGTCTGTTTTCATTTTCAGACCAAAGGTTAAACTAATTTCTCTATATCCAACACAGCGTAAGTGACAGGGAAGTGTTGTTATTGGCCGAAAGTATCGTAAAATTAATAATAGATTATACAGTTTTCTAAACTTAAACAAACTGACTTATTCTTTTTTGGCACAACTTTCCTGACGTGTTAGAATCTATCCTAGAACTGTGATACAAGCCACATTTCTTTTAACATGGATTTTGGAGGAGCCAACATTTTAGCTGTATTGTCAAATTGTATCTGGCATTGCACGGTATGTATTTTAAGGAACCACATCCTTCCCAACTAACCTAATTTCTGCAGGGCAGTGCTGATTTTTGGATCATGTCCCACCTTTGTTCCCTAACTGTGCCTAACAATCATAGCATCTTAAGATGCGCTCACGCTATGTTCAGGACACTAGGACCCTGCAGGGAGCATTGACACAGTGCTCCCTGCATATCCTGCCCTCATTGAGTTGGCCTGAATGATGGTCAGACTGACCTGCCAATAACTCGGATGGACCTACCTCCTTTCTGGGCAGAGGGCAATGACAAGATCACATCACTGGCCCAGCTCTTTTTCCTCCCTCCCAATTCTCAGGAAGCTGGAGCTGAAAGGTATGGAACCATCTACTGTTTTACTGTAATGAATACATTATTTAATTAAGGAAGATTGTGGTTATAAACTATGTTCTGTATCTGTGTACAGTACAATGTGTTTTTCTTAAACACATGATATTAACATTAATTGCACAGGTTTTGAAGTTTATTCAATATGTAAAACACATTTGAGCTACCAATAAATTATCTACCTGATTGGACCTGTCCAAACGGAAAAAGCCAATATTGGACTTTCCTTTCCATTACCTAAGGCAGTGATGGCTAACCTTGACACCATAAATTGTTTCTGGACTACATTTCCCATGATGCTCAGCTAGCTATTAGACTCTAAAAGCTACTGAGCATCATGGGAAATGTAGTCCAGAAACAATTTATGGTGTCAAGATTAGCCATCACTGACATACGGTCAAGTTAGCCCAATGTCCGTCACAGTTAGGGTTATTTTTTTTGTCCCGGGGATTTATAACAGCTGCAGTTCCGCATCCAAGACCTCTGATCCACTAACCACACCCACGAGCTCGGAGAGGTGATTCAGACACAGGCACACAGAGGTGAGGTTAGAATAAACTCTGGTTTATTATTAGAAAATCTGTCATATGCAAATTAACTTGTCAGGAGATCTATGCAGTCGATAACACCATAGTTCACATTCAAAGCCTCAGAGAAGTCTCAGTGATGTTCATAGGTTCTCAGGGACATGTTAAATTAGTTAGAACATTAGATTAGTTTACCCAAAATGGACCTTCTTGTAGTTGTCTAATTGAGAACTAATAGAGACATTGAGCCTTTAGTTAGTTATTGCATTATTTAATTTAACAATTAAAATTAGATGCTTCTTAACATGTCAATGGAGAACATGCTGTAATGTGCCATCTTGACTTATGGGTTTTCTGTGATAATAAATTAGTTGTAACAAGGAGCAGCAACTAATGAAAATCATCTCACATGCCTGGGAACAACAATATGAGTTCAGACTTACAAAACTACACGAGAATCACTTATAGACATATGAATGGCAAGAGAAAACCAACAATAGATGTACTTCAGAGGTAATTCCAACAAGACTCCATGCAAGTGTGTCTACTGACAGGCTCTGTAAAGGCTGGATGGAAGCTGACAGAACCTTAAGAAGAAATAATTCTTGCAATTCTGTCTTACAAACAGGGCTGCCATCAGAAATTTGGGGCCCCTGACACCTTCAAAGTCTGGGCCCCCGGGGCCCATTCTGAGTCCACCCACAAGGATGCCCTGTCTGTGTGGTGTGTAAAATATATACAGAGTGCACATTTGTATAATGGATGTTGTAACGGACCGTTTTGCACAAAAGAGAAAAAAAACGCTTAGACGATAATCCCCTTTCAGAGACAGGCACAGCTACTGTAGAATCACCAAAACTCACGAATTGAATACAAGTGAATGCACCAAACACCCGAACTGCATACAAGGGAATGCTCCAAACACCCGAACTGCATACAAGGGAATGCTCCAAACACTCGAACTGCATACAATAAGTGATTGCTTCAAACTCCCGAACGGCATCCAATATAGCACTCCAAATACACGAACAGGAACCATACGAATTGCTGCTACCAGACGAATAGGAAAAGCATCCAAGCGGCTTACACTCCTAGCAATCAGTCTCTATCAGCATTCAGTAAATCCACCCAAAGACGAGACAAGGCTCCGTGTTGGGGGTCAAGCAGTGGTCTGTTTAATGAGGGCTACCTGCCCAGTATTTATGCAGGTCTCCCACCTGGTGGACACTCCCCTAAGGGACCAGATGGAAGACTGTAACAAAAGACAGACATGTACCAATTACAGACATACAGAAGTAAAACATCCCCACAATGCATCCTGGCTTCCTCCCCTCTGCCCTGGAGAAGTAATTCAATTATCTCCCAGGACAAAGGCAAAACTCCATTACACACGTGGGGACACAAAGACAGACTATCACTTTAAAATACATAATGGGACAAACGGTACAGTAAATATATACATGTAACATATCCCCAGATAGCTCAGGTCTGAGTGCAGATTATTAGGTGAATGGCACTCAGACCACACGAATACAGTTTAATTGCCATGGAGCCAAAGTCTTTAATTCCACGAACAGGCTCCATGGCATGGCTATCTGGGTTAAAACATTCCTCCAACATAAAAAAACGAATTTACATGCATTCGTGAAATCCGTACGAATTAGAACCAGGGGTTGGAGGTTCAGCGGTGCTTGCACGTAAAAGTGTCCGGTTTGATGCAGGAAAGCCGGGCAGAAAAGCGCTGGCTGCCCGGGGAGCTCCAGAACACCGCCATCGTGTGGGGGCTAAGTGTAACCGCGACCACCCAGTAACAATCAATTAAGCTGCGGTTAACCGCAGCTACTGGGTGGTCAATTGCCGGCACACGCTCGTTAAGCCGCGGTTAACCGCGGCTTCAGGGAGGTAAATGGAGGGCGTACTCCAGCTTCTGGGTGGCCAATTAAGGTCGCTGGCCGGCTTCCCATGGCTCTGGGGAGGCTGAAAAGAAACTGTTTGTTCGGTAGATAGAATCTACCGAACGGCTGTGCAGAAAGGGAGAAATAAATCCTTCTGCACAGTAAAATTAACCCTTTAGCTGCTGGTCCATAATCCAAAGGCAGCAGGTGGGCAACCAGGCTCCTCCAATGCAATGTGGCGAGATTGGTCTCGTCACAGATGTAGTTTTGTGTGGAACGCGGCCGGCCCCCCTGACTCCTCTCAGGTAAATGGGGGGGAAGGGTGGGGGGGAGAAAGGTAATATAGAGACACAAGGTAAGTGGGGGAAAATAAAACAGAGAGAGGGTGAATAGATAGACGCAGGGGAAGAAAGAGACAGTGGGAGAATAGAGAGAGACAGAGGGGGAGGGAGAGTGCCACAAGGAAAGGGGGGAGAAAGAGACAGAGGGGGGAGAGTGAGACAAAAGGGAAGAAAGAGGGGGAATAGAGAGATGGTAGAGGGGGAGAGAGAGACACAGGGAAAGAGGGGAGAAAGAGACAGAGGGGAAGAGAGAGACACAGAGGGAGAAAGGAGAGAGACACACAAGGGGAGGGGGAAAAAGAGGCAGAGGGGGGAGAGAGAGACTGGGAAGGAGAGGGGAGACATGGACACAGAGGAGCAGTGAGGGGGAGAAAGAAACATACAGAGGGACTGGGGGAGACAAAAAGGCACACAGAGGGGCTGTGTATATCACTTGTGGATCCAGGGGAGGCAACAGGCAATTGCCCCCCCCCCCCAGAGGCTCTCCCCTGCTGGCCAATGCAGGGCTGGCCCTGTCCAAGCGCCATGTGCCTTCACGGACCGGAGGGGAGATCAGAGATCTCCCTCCCCGTTCTGCAGGCACCGTGCAGGGGAGGAAGAGAGGACCCGGGAGCTCAGCCTGCAGCTCCTCCGGGTCCTTCTTGCGCGAGTACAGAGCATTGCCGCGGTTACAGCGGCAACGCTCCGGCTCTCGCGAGAGTGAACTTTAGCCCTGGAGCTACGGGCTAGAGTTCACTCTCACCACTGCGACCACCTGGCGGTCGCAGTGGTGAGAGTGAACTCTATCCCCATACACACACTGCACACACCATACATATTCACACACTGCCCCCCATACACACACACAGACCCCCATGCAAACATTGCCCCTGGATCCGCCACGGGTATATATATATATATATATCATGTATATTAATGTGCGTATTAGTTATATATATATATATATATATATATATATATAAAATTATGTCTATAATATTTACACATATATTAATGTACATTTATATATGCATAATACACAGAAAAATGTCATTAATATGTACCATATGTAATGAGCAGATACTGGCCCAGTCCTGTTGCTAGGTGCGTACTCCAGCACAATAACATATTTAAAGTGAAGAGTGCACCCACAGGACTTCAAAATAAACAAGCTAACGTATTTTTTTACAGCTGTGCAATACATACATTCACCATTTCAGTCCCGTTACCAAGCTTTCCTTAATATGTCAAGGTAGTTGGACTGAAACATTGATTACATGCAAAGGCACGTCTGCTTAAAATAAATCTGCACTCGGCTGAATGCGAATGCGTGGCAAGAGCTGCACGTGCATTCAGCCAGTGTCAATGCTTTCCTATGGACGCTGGGGTCTTCTCAGTGTGATTTTCACAGTAAGAAGCACGCAAGCCCCTCTGGCGGCTGTCAATGAGACAGCCACTAGAGGCTGGATTAACCCTAATATAAACATAGCAGTTTCTATGAAACTACTATGTTTTTAGAAAAAAGGGTTAACCCTAGCTGGACCTGGCACCCAGACCACTTCATTAAGCTGAAGTGGTCTGGGTGCCTATAGTGGTCCTTTAATTTCTCTTTTCTAACTCTGTATCTGCACATTATGCTGGCGTGGCGCATTATGGGGCTGGTAAATAATTTTTTTCCAGTGCTGCTTTTAATTCCCAGTCCGGCCTGGTGTATGCAGTGTGTATAGTGTATGCAGTGTGTGTTTGTGTTGTGGTTTAAGTGTGTATAGTGTATGCAGTGTGTGTTTGTGTTGTGGATTAGTGTGTGTAAATGTGTAAAATAGGGGGCTGCATAGGGTGGGAGCCTTTTTGTATATGACCCACATTTATTTAACACACTATTTTATTCCCCAGTCTCTGCTTCTTACCTGACTAGTGAAGGGGGAGATTGCATCCCTGGTGGTCTGGTGGAGGGAGCCAGCCGTTGTAGAATGTAGTCAGGGGCCAGTCAGCACCATCTTAACTCTCCAGCAGCATCTGTGTCTGTAACTCTTGCGAGCTGTGCCTGTTTGCCACGCTGAGCGTTGCCATGGTAACCTATGACAATGCACTGCCGGCCGCGGAGCTTGCGAGAGTCACAGGCACAGGAGCTGCTGGAGAGTTAAGATGGTGCTGGTTGGCCCCCGTCTGCTTTGTACAGGTAGCCGTGGCCCGCAGGTGCACATATAGATAGCGATAGTCGCTATCTATATGTGCACATATGGAATGTGGGGCCCGGGACTCCCAGAGCAGTCTGGGCCCCCCAGGACCGCCAGGCCCATGACAACCGTTATGATTGTCATGCCCTGATGGCGGCCCTGCTTACAAATTTAGGGGGGATTCTTAGTTCATCATATATAAAGGGGTGTAAGTGAAGTCAATAGTCATCTAACAACAAGATTAAAATTGTGTTATCTAGAATTTATTCTGGAATACGTTCTCTAGATGAAGCAAGATGGGTTACATGCTTCAGTAAATTTAATTACCTTTGGGAGGATTCATGTATTTAAGGGATATAATATAACATACACAATGTAACATCACAGGTTATATGATACTTTCATCAATTTGTTGAGTAGAGGCAGTGGTAAGGCATCCAGGTAGACTGACATCATTTCTTCAATAATAACAATAATATACAGTACAGCATCGGAAATCCACTATTGTAAGAGGAGCATAAAGCCCATACCATTGCAAAGCTTCTCATTTCAACAGCTACCATAATAAATGCAATTATTAATTGAGTCAGAAACCAGGAGCCAATTTTATAAAGATATCTGATGTATTGTACTTTCTCACAAGCACCTAAATACTTATGTATTCTGTAATCAGCTTCTACCATCATTGCCCAACACAAGAAACCAACCACTTGACCTGGATAGAGTCCATGCCACCAGGCTGAAAAGGCAAATGTCATCAGTAAAGGTCTGGTTTTGCACCTTGTGAATACTAGTCTTTTCATCCATATTGCTGTACTTTTATTCCAGGATCGGGCAAAAAATGAGATTTTGTGAGTTGTTTCCAAGGCCCAAATATCAAGATCCGAGACTATATGTAAGTCTGACCCGTCAAGACATTCATTTACAAATCCTGTAGCGTGAAGAAGAGATTCATCCAACATCCAATGGGAATAATACGTCAATTTAAATAGCACAGCTGTAATCCACATGATGTATATACAATTCAAGTTTGTACAATCCAAGAGACCACCGTGAATGTCTATATTCTCAGCCACTAAAGAACGGAACATTTGCAGCAAAAAAGAAATAGCACAGCCTTTGATCAACAGCCATGTAGGCCTCAAAGCGTGGGACATGTGAGATCTGTGGACATGCTGCTGAAACTTCACAAACGAGCACAGTGGACCTCCCAACAGGGCTGGAAAGAACAGGAAGTAGGAGAGAACTACCAGTACATTGACTGCTATCTGCCTGTGGATACCATTACCAGTCTGAAGAGTTATTACAGTCACTTTCCTTTCATGAATATCCAGTGCAAGAGATGTAATCTTTTGTGTTAGTAGCATAAGGGATGAAATCATAATTGACAACCTAAAGAGAATAAAGCATAACAATAAATATCAGCATTTTTATACAATGTGTGTTATACTGATATTAATATATGACAGATATCACAATGGATAGAGGAAAAGCACACACACATACATATAGTGAACACATACATATAGTGAACACATATATATAGTGAACTATTAGTCTTCTAGTGAATGAAAATTCTCTCTTTTTGCTATACAGTAGTCCATTTAGTTTATTTTGATGTTTAAGATTTTCCATGTGTGGGAAACACACCATTATCTCACAAACAGATGTAGATTCAGAGGAACCATTGACATATTAAATAACTGCGCCACTTGCCAGACAAGTAAGGCTACTTTCTCCCCACACCAGTGCACCAGTTCTATTTTTTTAATGCGTACATCTGTAGTTTATAGTATTTATATTGCTGATAACAAGAAGAATTTCCTCTTTCAACTTCATCTTGGTTATCTTATCTGTGTTGTTTTAAATACAGATAATAACATGGGTTATTCAACAAAGCTGGTAATTGTGGAGAATTGACAAGGGAAAAAAAAATTACGTCGAAAATAGCCAAAATTAGACACATTATCCAACTTATCTAGTTTACCAGATAATCTGTTTAGCCTAATATGTGCAATTCCTTTGCCGATTCTTTATAAATACTGTGTTTGTGAATAAACATATTTCAGACTGACAGTGAGTGGCTGAAACATAGGTTAGAACATTTTATACATCACAACAAAGACCTACAAAGAGTAAAAAAGTTTTATATTTATTCATATGGTGCCAAAATAGCCCACATATTTCCCTAGTGAAAAAGTTTGCACAGATCATATTGGGTATTAACTAGGGTGTCACCCTGTTTAATCTGCTGGACCCAATAAGTCAGTCAGGAAACTGTTGAACAGTGAATTAACCCAATGGATTTGGCTCTTTCAGCTCACAAAATACAGGTTGCTTATGGCAGATCACAAGATTAGTTTTTTGTTGTCTCCTGTGTACCCACAGGATCCTCCATAGACATCAGTATTATTATTATTATTTTATTATTTACATAGCACCAGCAAATTCTGTAGCGCTGTACAGTGGTACAATGGGATCAGTATTGTGCTCTTATGCATGTGCAGGAGTACAGCACTGACACAGCTCCTGGCAGATGGTGCACCAAGAGCTGAAAAACAATATGTACAGGAAACCGCTTCAACATAGTATGACTACCTTCCACCCCTGGTCCTCCCCAGCTCAGAGATATTACCTTAAGGGGTATTTGCAAAGTATGAAAATACCTCTAAGATAAAAGAGGTATTTTAAGTTTAGCTTGTTTCATATATCCAAACCATCTTGGAGTAAGTTAGTCTGATTTGATATTGGTCCCATGATCCATTGCCCTGCAGTTCTCTCTCTAGTATTTGCAGCTGGTGAAGTTCAAGAGGTTCGGCACCAGGTTCTATCCATGGAATTTGTCTCCATGCGCTCTTTCTTGATATCGCATCTCCTGCTATATTGGACTTTTGTGAAATATCAAACAGTGTTTTAAGTTCCAGCATATTGCAAAGCATAGTTACTCAAAGCAGGTGAGGAACTTCCAGCGTTGCAACTGGTTGGAACACATGGTCAGGGGGTCACTGTTATCAAGAGTGCTATGGGACACTCCCTACCCTCGCTGACACAGCTGAAAGTTCTTGCTGCAAACCAGAGGAAAATCAGTGATGTATGGAAGCCCGGGAGACATTTGGAGAGCTCACAACAGGAAGATAAGCTGGACTCAAAGAGATGTGGAGAGTATGAGTGTGTTGTGTGCATATGGGTCACTGTTTGTAAATGTGTATGTACATCTATGCATGTGTGTATATGTACATGTGCATCAATATGTGTACCTGTGCATGTGTGTTTCACTGTATTTCTTCATATGTATCAATCTGTGTGTGCCAGTGTGTGTATCTAGGTGAGTGTGTGTATGTTCATATGTGTCAGTGTGTATCTGTTTATGTGTGAATACATGTTCATATGTGTGTGTGTATCTGTGCATGTGTGTATGTCACTGTATCTGTTGATGTGTGTCAATTTGTGTGTGTCAGAATGAATCTCCTAAAGTGTATTTGTGTGTGTTTGTGACAGAGTGTTGGGGATGGTGGCCAGGGGTGTATATCTGGCACCCAGACTTTTATGCAGCCACTATCCTTACATGTGGGTAAGCACATGCAGCCCCAGGGAAAGAAAAGTTGAAATGTAGGTTTTTTTCTATGTTGTTATTTGGGTCCCTGTATTCGGAAGAGCAGGGTAGGCCGATTCTCCACCCACTGTCAGAATGGCTGTGCATGAGTCCAGCCCAGGAGTTCTGGCTGACTGCCTAATGAGGTCATTAGCCTCACCTGTAGGGGCTGTGAGCAGCATTTAACTGCAGTTAAAGCAGGGTGGAGTGAGGGAAGTGTTTTGAGGAGAAAGAAGGTTTGCTACCTGTTGTATCCTGTTGTATCCTGTTGTATCCTGTTGTATCCTGTTATATCCTGTTGTTTCCTGTTGTATCCTGCTACTTCTTAACAACAGAAAATAAACAGGCCAGAGGCCTTTGAAAGTGGACTTTGTCTTGGCCTGGCTTCCTTACCCTAGAGGGCTGTGCAGTTGCCAAAAGATCATGGACAAACACACACAGGGAAGTAAGTTTGTCACATATGGTGGAGAATGCAGAATATGGAGAATATGGTGGGGCAGTGCACTGAAGAAGCCTGTGGGTATTAACTGGGAACCAAACAAGCCTGGAGGAATATGGAGGAAGTTGTGAAAGTTTTGTTGCAAACTACAGAGGCACAGCAAAAGGCTACAGCCATACAGCAGGAGGCTACGGCTGTACAGCAACAGGCCACAGTGGCACAACAGGAAAATATTGCAGCCCTACAGCAACTGGTAATCACGCAAAAAGCCAACACAGATGCCATGATCCAGCAGGTTGTGGCAGCCCAAGCTGAGGCAAACTGCCTGCTCAGGGAGGAGCAACATCAGGCCTCCAGCATGATACAGAAGGAGATACAGGCTTTGACCAATGGACTGACCAGAGTTTCGGATGGGATGCAGTCCGAGGTTGAGATGATCAGAGGCAGCCGTTACCTGCAGAAGATGACACCTACAGATGATGTGGAAGCATACCTTTTAGCTTTTGAGAGGACCGCTGAGAGAGAAGAGTGGCCAGTGAGTGAGTGGGCAAACATACTGGCACCTTTTCTGATCGGACAACCCCAGAAGGCTTTCTATGACCTGGAACCAGCGCAGGCAGGGGTCTACTCCAAACTGAAGGCTGATATCCTTGCAAGACTTGGTGTGACTATGGCAGTTTGTGCCCAAAGATTTCATGCCTGGACTTTCAACCAAGCGAAACCTATCCGCTCCCAGATGTTTGACCTGATACATCTTGCTAGAAAGTGGCTACAACCTGAAATAAATATGGCAAGCCACATCATGGATCTTCTTGTGATGGACAGATTCCTGCAGGGCTTACCTGCTTCACTGCATCGATGGGTCAGTCAGAGTGATCCACAATCAGCCGATGAGTTAATTAGTTTGGTGGAAAGATATGTTGCTGCGGATGACAGACAGTGGCTTAACAAAACAAAGTCTATGCAGAGAGTTAAGACTCCAGCTGCTGAAAGACCTGGTAAGATTTTTCAAGGTTTCAGAGACACAGAGGAACAAGAGACATATTCTCAGAGACCCCATACGCTTATGCCTAGAAATGTAAATCCTGGAAAAGGGTCTAGGTGGGGGACAGAATATAATATTAAATGTTTCCGGTGTAATGAACTTGGACATAAAGCTAGAGACTGTCCCTTGATTGATGAACCTATGCAATGCAATATGATTAATCAGGATGTACAATTGTCTTGTCTGCTGAATCATATGGAATCTGCTGTTGCCAACTGTAGTCACAAGCCGCAGATATGTTCTATAAAGGTGAATGGGAAAGAGGTTAGAGCTATATTAGACTCCAGAAGTATGGCTACGTTGATAACAAAATGCCTTGTATCTGAAGCCGATGTTGATGCATTTCAGAAAATAGGTATTATTTGTGTTCATGGTGACAAACGTGAATATCCTACAGTTTTGCTGAAATTTGAAAGCCTTTTTGGTACTGTGAATCATAGAGCGGTGGTGGTTGATAAATTGGCTTATGATGTGGTGTTGGGAAGGGATTTCCCCCAATTTCTAGACTTGTGGGGGTCTCCAGGAAAAGTAGCTCATGATTGTATAGCAAATGATGATGATGATTCTGGAAATGTGTTTCATTTTTCTGACATAGAATGGGAAGCACTAACATAAGAACAGAGAAGGCTGAAGCCTCACGTCACATGCCAGCTTTAATAGGAGATGACCCGGGCCACGATAGTCAGGAGTCCGATAATGATCAGGATCAAGGCATTAACCTTCCTGAATTAGAAGTCAGTCCTGTTAACTTCAGGAAAGCACAATGGGAAGACCCCACTCTTGCAGAGGCCCGTAAAAATATCCAGGTTTCTAATGATGATCCAGTACAACTAGATAGAGCCCCTTTATATCCTTACTTTGAGGTACAGAATGATTTGATTTATAGAGTGGAGAAAAAGGGGATGGATGTTGTAAAGCAATTACTTGTGCCTAAGCCCTTCACACATACAGTCCTAAACCTTGCACACAGCCATATACTGGGGGGACATTTAGGCAAAGAAAAGACAAAATAAAGAGTCTTACAGAGGTTTTATGGGGTATTTGAATCAGTTGCAAATTATTGTTCTTCTTGTCCTGAATGCCAGCAAACTGCCCCTTTTAAGGCATACCGCAGTCCTCTGGTACCATTGCCTATAATAGAAATAACTTTTGAGAGGATTGCAATGGACCTGGTAGGTCCTCTGGTAAAGTCTGCAAGGGGGCATCAGTATATATTGGTGGTTTTGGATTATGCTACCAAGTACCCGGAAGCAGTACCCCTACGTAACACGTCTGCAAAGACAACAGCAAAATAACTAATGCTCATGTTTAGCCGGGTTGGCATACCAAAAGAAATTTTGACAGATCAGGGTAAACCATTTATGTCTAAAGTTACAAAGGAGTTATGCAAACTACTTCAAATTAAACATCTTAGGACCACTGTTTATCATCCCCAGACAGATGGACTGGTAGAACAGTTCAACAAGACCTTAAAAAGTATGTTAAGGAAAGTAATTGACAAGGATGGTAAGAATTGGGATTGCTTACTACCCTATATAATGTTCTCCATAAGGGAGATGCCACAAGCTACAACGGGCTTCTCTTCTTTTGAACTTCTGTATGCCCATCATCCCAGAGGTCTGCTAGATATAGCAAAGGAAACCTGGGAACACGAATCAAATCTGTACCGTAGTGTAATTGAGCACGAAGCTCAAATGCAAGATAGGATAGCGGCTGTCATGTCAATAGTTAAAGAACATATGCAGAAAGCCCAAGAGGCCCAGAAAAACAGTTATAATAGAAATGTCAGACTGAGAGTTTTTCACCTAGGAGACAGGGTACTTGTTTTGGTCCCTACAGTAGAAAATACATTTCTAGCATCTTGGCATGGCCCCTTTGAGGTTATTGAACAAGTTGGGGAAGTTAATTATAAAGTGAGACAACCCAATAGGAGAAAGCCTGAGCAAATCTATCATTTAAATTTACTAAAACCCTGGAAGGATAGAAAAGTCTTAACTACTTCAATTGCCACTAATAGGACTGGTAGTGAACTTGAAGTAAACATACCAGACACACTACCCCCCACCAGAAACAGGAAGTAAGGGACTTTATTGGTAGAAACAAGGATGTATTTTCTGTAGTTCCAGGCAGGACTAACGTTATCAAGCATGATATTGTTACAGAACCAGAGGTGAAGATAAGTCTTAAACTATACAGAATTCCAGAAGCACAGAAAGAGTCTGTATCTGCTGAAATTAAGAAAATGTTAGATCTTGATATTATTGAGGAATCACAAAGCGAGTGGAACAGCCCTATAGTATTGGTGCCAAAACCTGACGGCTCGTTAAGATTTTGTAATGATTTTTGTAAATTAAATAGTGTTTCCAAGTTTGATGCTTATCCAATGCCTAGGGTTGATGAACTAACAGAAAGACTGGGTAAGGCTCGGTACCTGACTACTTTGGACCTGACAAAGGGTTATTGGCAAGTACCTCTTACAGACAGAGCAAAAGAAAAGACAGCTTTTTCGACATCAGGGGAATTATTCCAATACAAGGTGCTACCATTTGGGTTACATGGGGCCCCTGACATTTTTAAAGACTGATTAATAGGATTTTGAAGCCTCATAGCTGTTATGCGGCCGCATACTTAGATGACATAGTCATTCACAGTTCTGACTGGGCGTTACATCTTCCCAAAGTGCAGGCAGTACTGGATTCTATCCGCCTAGCTGGTTTAACTGCTAACCCATCTAAGTGTACTACAGGTTTGGAAGAGGCAAAATATCTGGGTTATTCGATTGGGAGAGGGCTTGTTAAGCCCCAAACAGCAAAAGTGAAGGCCATACAAAATTGGGTACTACAGGCGATTTATTCCTGGTTTTGCTACATTAGCAGCCCCTTTAACTGATCTCACAAAAGGAAAAGCCCCACTAGTGGTGAAGTGGTCATTTGTAAAATTGAAAGAGGCTTTGTGCACCCAACCAGTTCTGGTAACCCTGGATTTCGCTAAAGAGTTTATTGTGCAAACCGATGCATCAGAGATTGGGTTAGGGGCGGTTCTGTCTCAGGAAATTCAGGGTGAAGATCACCTAGTGTTTTATTTAATTAGGAAGCTGACTCCCGCTGAGAAAAATTATTCTATAGTGGAGAAAGAATGCCTTGCCATAAAATGGGCCTTAGACTCACTAAAATATTATCTGCTGGGCAGAAAATTTAGGTTGGTTACAGACCATGCTCCCTTAACCTGGATGAGTCAAAACAAAGCTAATAATGCCAGGGTGACAAGGTGGTTCCTCAGTTTGCAACCTTTTCATTTTACAGTCGAACATAGGCCTGGCTCTAAACATGGAAATGCTGACAGTTTGTCACGAGAAAATGTGTTATCTGTGGTCGCTCACCCCACTAGGTGTGAGCTGGGGCGGAGGATATGTGACAGAGTGTTGGGGATGGTGGTCAGGGGTGTATATCTGGCACCCAGACTTTTACGCAGCCACTATTCTGACATGTGGGTAAGCACATGCAGCCCCAGGGAAAGTTGAAATGTAGGTTTTTTTCTATGTTGTTATTTGGGTCCCTGGGGTGGAGTATTCGGAAGAGCAGGGTGGGCCGATTCTCCACCCACTGTCAGAGTGGCTGTGCATGAGTCCAGCCCAGGTATTCTGAGGAGTTCTGGCTCACTGCCTAACAAGGTCATTAGCCTCCCCTGTAAGGGCTGTGAGCAGCTATATAACTGCAGTTAAAGCAGGGTGGAGTGAGGGAAGTGTTTTGAGGAGAAAGAAGGTTTGCTACCTTTTGTATCCTGTTGTATCCTGTTGTATCCTGTTGTTTCCTGTTGTATCCTGCTACTTCTTAACAACAGAAAATAAACAGGCCAGAGGCCTTTGAAACTGGACTTTGTCTTGGCCTGGCTTCCTTACCCTTGAGGGCTGTGCAGTTGCCAAAATATCCTGGATAAACACACACAGGGAAGTAAGTTTGTCACACAATGTATATGTAAAGCACTACGGAATTTGTTGGCGCTATATATATTAAAATAAATAAATAAAATAATAATAATAATATGTCTGTTTCTGTGTGAGCCAATGTGCATCAGTATTTGTGTGTAGCAATGTATGTGTATATGTGCAAACATCGAAATCACACATAAATATACCTCTGCATTCAAACATCAGCTTTACACAAAAATACACAAACACTCACACACATAAAACCCTGCAAGGATTGGCAAATGGTAGATTTACAACTGACAAAGCATTATCTGAGTTGGACAGCAGTTGAGATCTATCGTTTTGGCTACCCTTGCTCTATGAAGGGGGTAAAAAACTATTTTGTGCCACGGCCCCCCTACACTAGTTAATCCACTGATAGGCTTAAAAACACAATTATGTATTACTCATTATACACAAAGCTGCTTAGGCTAACGAGTTACACTATTCCTTCTCTGACACAATACATTAATCTAAAATATGAAAGCACAGAACAGAAAAACCTAATTTAAAAAAAAAAAAGAAGAGGATACAGGACAAGACAATAATAAAACTGTACCTTTAAACCTGTCATAGTCTGGCAGCATGCTTCAATAGAAACACATAGTGCTGGTATTGGGGGATCCATTTTCATTAGACACACAGTGCCATGTTATTAGAAGACACACAGTGCCTGGTGACACATTGTCAGTGCTGTACTCCCAAACCTTCCTCTGAAGTAATTGGCAACTGGCTGGAGCTATGTTATGTATGTGCAAGTAGCACTCTGATTGAAATGAGGACATGTTACTTGTATACTAAGTATACAGACAGTTTCTGTAACAAAATTAAAAGACTTCCAATGTATTGGAAGGTGTAAACACAGACAAAAATATGTTTCCCTGCCCAGCGTAATAAGAATGCAAAACAATATTGGAATACATATTTAAAAAAACTACTTCTAAAACATTTTGCATGACTATTTTAAAAATATAGTGTTCCCTTTTAAGTGATTTACGTATTGTGTTGATAGTCTAGCATGAAATCATGCCATGCATAATATTTGCTACAAACAATTTGCTAGTTTGCTCATATACCTTGTAGTCATGACTTCTTGTAGGTAGTATTGTCTGTATATGAGCCATAGGTGGCAACCAGTTTGCCATGACATCTGCAGGATAAAAGCCCACCTGTGAACAGACCTCCAGCTTACAATGTGAAATAGCAAAGTGGAGCCCAGAGCAGGCATGAAGAGCAGTATTGCATATGGCCCCATGGAAGCACATGCCAATATAAGTCCTCCAACTAGCAGATAAATATATCTGAAATAAGACACAAAAAGGAACAACAAAGAGATTAAACATGTTCTTTAAGACACCTTGTTCGTTGTCTGCTTGAAACAGACATCAGGGAACTTTCAGGTCTTCCTGTTGAGTGTTAGTAAATTTAGGTCAGTCTTGAGTGAATGTTAATGTCTGTTTCACGACCGAAGAACATTGCGGCACAGTCAAGAGAACTGTGACCCTAAGATTCTACAAAGCTCTGGTGGTTCTTGATGCTCAATGTTAGTACCTTTGTGATTATAGTGCCATAGCCCCTCTCCCCCCCTGTTTTTAACAGATTAATTAATTTAAAAAATAAAACTTTACTTATTGGCAATTTTAGGATTCTCACGACAGCCATTGGTGATTCAATATATAGAATATCTGTGATGAACAGGCTCATTTTGAGTTTTGTGGTCAAATTATTTAGAAAACTCCGATGTATGTTGGAAGAGTAGAATTTTTATTCTTTGTATATCACATAATATATCTTAAATATTATTTAAAATAAACTCTAAAATATGAATAATGAGATCAAATCCATAATAGTTTTGAATATATATACACTGATCAGCCACAACATTAAAACCATTTACAGTGAGGGGAAAAAGTATTTGATCCCTGCTGATTTTGAACGTTTGTCCACTGACAAAGAAATGATCAGTCTATAATTTTAATGGTAGGTGTATTTTAACAGTGAGAGACAGAATCCAGAAAAAAAATCCAGAAAAACGCATGTCAAAAAAGTTATAAATTGATTTGCATGTCAATAAGTGAAATAAGTATTTGATCCCCTATCAATCACCAAGATTTCTGGCTCCCATGTGTCTTTTATACATGTAATGAGCTGAGATTAGGAGCACTCCTAATCTCAGCTCGTTACCTGCATAAAAGACACCTGTCCCCAGAAGCAATCAATCATATTCTAATCTCTTCACCATGGCCAAGACCAAAGAGCTGTCCAAGGATGTCAGGGACAAGATTGTAGACCTGCACAAGGTTGG